TATCACCCTCAGATTCCAATCCAAACGTATGTTAATCGAACGCTAACGGTGAGAACGTGTTGCTAGGACTGGGCACAACTGGTCGCCAGCCTTTTGGAGTCGGGCGTGTCGTGGAGTGCGCAATTACAGGTGATTACGACCGCATTCATCATTAAACAGTTGTCCGATTTATGCATCATTTTGCATTTCTATTTTTGATATATTATTTAAATATTTTGTAATTCTTTGTGCTTTTTGCTTCCGTTTATAATACAGCCCCAAAAAATAATTTGTGTGTCTTGGCAGAAACAGTCACAGCAATAGAATATTCTTATTGCCGCTGGAGTTAGTAGTGGTGGGTAGCCTAGGCATGGCAACTAGGCCACTTTTGGTTTTTTCTAGCGACTCCTTAGTTACACTAAAGCCTGATGTTTAGGATGTACAACAATCCCACTGAATATACTTCCGGGTGCACCATCTTTTATGAGGGTATTGAAACATCGAATGACTTTGATTTTTACCAACCGAGTGATTCGGTTATACGTGTTTCTGAAACGTCAATTTACTACAATTTTGGTCACGAATCGGTTTACATTGAAAATCGTCGTTCAGTTGTGTTAACGCAACGTGCATATCGTCGAAAATATCGTGGCAAACACCGCACCGTCTGGCAACACTATCCGTCGTTTGGTTTCGAATTTTCTTGAGTACGGGTCAGTGGGAGATCGTCAACATACCGTTCATCAACGACCAAGACGTTCCAATAAATTGGTTGAAGCGGTCAGAGACAGCGTTGTCCAGAACCCCAAAGTGTCGTATCGTCACCGCGCTCAGCATTTTGGCATCAGTGGAAACATTCGTACCGCAATCGCCGCTATACCACCAGAGATGCTCGAAAAAGTAATGAAAAACGCAGCGAAACGGGCACATTTTGTTTTGGCCAATAAAGGTGGCCACTTGATAGATGTTGTGTTCAAAAACTAGTCCCAATAAATTGTAAAGGACCATATTTAATAAAAATACCCGATATATAGAAATCAGTTTTTCGTTTTCAAAGTTATTTCATGTTTACATACCGACATAAAAGATGGCGCACCCTGTATTGAATAATAAACGTATTTTCAGAAATCAATTGATCTTTGTCCATGTAGAGACTAGATACTTTTCAAATCACTTAGTATCCCGTCACTATCAAAGTCGGCCTTCGACCTCCTCACTAGGAACAGATGCATATTTAGTCTGCAGTGGCTCGTGAGAATATCCACTAAAAAATGCAATTTCTGTGTTTAACCTGTGTGTTTTTATCAACGCCTACTATAAACATATTAAGCTTCCTGTAGTCACCCCTTTTCCATATCTTTCCTGGTTTCCTATTTTCTCCTCCAGTATGGAGTTTAGCTAGATTATTATCTCGTTAGACATTTTCGGCAAAAAAAAATCATCAGTAATAATACCTAGATTCGTCAATTCAACTCCATGTACTCCGAACCACATCATCTGATCGTTCAGCCATAACATTATCAAATTTTTAAATGGTATAGTGGGGGACGAGTGTTGGGAATGTAGGAAGTTGAAGAACAAAACCCAGCAAAATTAATTAATCAAGTCACAATTTTATATTTTTGTGGGGCTGTTACTAGATGGTAGATATATCTAAGTTACGCAGGGTAGCATCTTAGAAACTCTTTGAAAGTATTCTTGGCAGATTTTCGCACTTCGGAACGTAAAACGCACCGACTACTAAAACATATAGACCTATTGATCCATGCATTCATATAATCAAAACTAAGTCGTTGCTCACATGTCGATCGCCCAAGAGGGAGTGCGGATGTAAAAAAGCCTGAAAATGGCCGACATTGGGTGACATATGATTTGCAATGCCACACATTCGAAACGCGAACCAGTAATGTAGTAATACTGTTCAGTGGCGGATTTATGAAAAAGGGTCCGGCCAGAAAATTTTTAAAAGGGCCCACTTGTTCGGTATATCATATAAATCAAGCGATACATTGTTAGGTTAATTTGTTTTATGTGATACAGAACAACAGCATCATGTAACTTTGAATCCTCGTCTTGTTTTTCGTTCAAGGAGAGAAATGCTACTTCTTAATAAGGTATTGAGGTCAGTAATGGCGATTTCATGAGTTAGTAATGAAAAAAAAAAGAATTTCATTCAATTATGTATGTCAGATCATTAGCATTTGAATGGGATTCTCAGCATCTCGGTAAAAAAAGTCAACTTCACAAGCACTACTAATACAATAGCCAAAATTGAAGACAGTGATGTTTCTTAAAAATGAATTTAACATGCATCTTGCTTCTACTGCAGGGGCTTGATTGGATTTATAGTATCGATATGTACAGTTCCGAAGTATCAAGAAGCATGTATGTACATTATGTTGCATTGCTTAGAAAATATGAGGTTTTAACTTTGGGAACGTGAAAAATAATGTACCCATAACTTGGATATAACTGAAAATGCGGATAGTTCGGTGTCCATAAATGAAAAAATAATAAAACCACAAGTATAAGATGAACATTATGCAAAAATCTTGGTCAAAAAGCATTAAAACATCTAATTCGTAGTTAGTGGATTACATACACGCTACTGAGAACCGAAACTAAGACATTAACATAACCTATACTTACCTATGAATTGAAACACCTTCTGCCTTGTGTGCTATAATTTTACATGCGTAGCATACATAAAAATCATTCTCGGAGATTTACTAGCCTCCATTGAGGAACATGCAACATGGCAAATTTCTGATTAAATGTCTGCAAAAACCCGAATGTAAATAGATATGTCTATATTTTTTAGTAGTCGGTGATAAAATATTACAACCCTATTTTAGACCAACATTTTCAATGTTACTGTTAATAGGCTACTCTTCGTCAGACCGTCTTTCGTATACTTTTAGGATAGTATCTTTTCTATATTTATTATATCATATTTATGAAAGTAATTTGTATATTGTAGAGAAGTGGTTGCTATTTTTCTGGAATTACCATTTATTACGTATTTGCGTTTATGCTTGACCCTTAGTGTAAAGTTTCATTAAACAGCTCAACTTATACAGCATGCAGCTTCAATTTTTTATATTTTGTAAACAGACGCATGCCAGCTCGTTTTGTTATTTTGAGCAGCAACAATCCTAAATGTACTGTGGCTTCCTAAACTTATATGATAACGCTCATTAACTTTCCTAACAAACAGAATCCATTCTTATATGTAAATGTACTCATTGTTTTCAGGAAATTAGATTATATCTTGACAATTTCTTCGGTTAATTCAAATTAAACCTCATTAGTATGATTTTCGAATATCAATAAGTTGTTTTTGCATTACGTTATAATGTGAATATTTATTCAAACAAAACACGTCTTGTTGGTCGGTTACCTACGAGAACAAAATAAAAATTCATGTTATGATAGAAATATTTTAAAAATGTACGTATTTTGGTGTAAAGTCAACCTACACAGTGTATAATTTAATTTGCGTCTTCATTTAATGGTATTTTCATCCCTGTTTATTTTTATACTTTCAGTTGAGAGCTCAGTACCACTGTCATTTTTATATATTTTTGTGTCTCATTGTATTTTATCATAAATTTCAAGAAGAAAGTGGGTGAATTTTGGACAAAAACAAGGCGCAGTTAAAAAAGTAGAGGGCAACAGATATCTGTATGACTCTTTTGGAAACCATTCTTCAGAACAGTTCGTTCTATTCGAATAAGATAACAGTCAAGGTTGCATTGATAACGGAAGCCTGAGGGATCAGAGCAATATCTCCGTTTATAGAAGAATACATAAACTCGTATGGTAGAATTTGCAAACTCTAATATATTAATTATGGGACTCATTGGGGAAACGCAGGCTTCTATAGTTTAGCTTTTGTATTACATTACTATACATTTTAGAATTTGCTGTATAAAGACAACTTAAAAATAGAAGAATACTTGTCAGCATCGATTCCGGATAAGATTTAGCCCGAAGCAATTAAGAATTTTATTTTATCCTAAGAATCCGTAAGTAAATAGTTTACAAAGGTTATATCACAGAAAATATGAATTTTGAACTCTAAATGTTATGTAATTAAAACAAGTGAGGCAAAATCAACTGTAGAATTTTCATTAGTATGAACATAACTTGTGTACGTTCAATAAACGTTTGACTATAATATATAATGGTTGATTTATTCTTATACTTTTTCGGAAAGCATCAGAAGTAAAAATAATCAACCGTGTCTGATATATTTGTTATAAAAAAAACGAGCAGTCGCACTCGCTTTTTGAAAATTATTTTATCAAATGTTAGCAGTCACCGCTCTGGTCCATTTTCGATTACCCGTCCGTGCATTATTTCCAGTGCTATTTGGCGAATAACGCAGGCAGCAGCGATGGCCGCAGTAGTAGACTCTTCGGTCTCCTGATCAGTCGCCGTGCGCTGTGCTTGTTCGAATCCCGTCCCAAGAGAAATTTTTCTCTTGGCTATGGATGTTGTGATTGTCCGTGGGTGGTAGACGGTCTTTGGCTGTCGAACGAGGTGGTACCACCCGGCGGATCTCGTAGGCGGGGCCAGAATGTGCGCATCTTGCATGCACACGTGTTCCCGCGCCAGAGTCCGCGTGGCGTTCCCCTGTATTCCCTATAGCCCCACGGTCCCCTTAGGTGTTTAGGCATTAGGCCTTCGTGGTGGTTGGAATATAAGAAAAAAGTAATAATGTTTTTATTGAGATTCACATGCATATGATCCTTATCTTGGACACCCTGTACGTTCTTGTCGAACGTTGCACAAGTTTGAGTTTATACCGATAAAAAGTCAACATCAGTTTTGATTTTATCTTTTTCTTTGATAATAAAGGTGATGGGCAAAGTTGTATGTTTTTCTTTTGAAAAAAGTACCTTCTAAAGAATCGCCCATTACTACGATGCCGACCAGTATACATTATCCTGAACTGGCTTGAAAACGCCGATTGTGTGCTCAATATCCGTTTAACTCCGCCCATATTCTCTAACCAGATGGACAACCCCACCAGTCCGCTGCCCAACTACTCCGCCTCGGACCAATCTGGCGGCATTGCGACTCCGCCCACCATGTCGCAAGCGCAACAGATTCACACCGGTCAAACTGGCCTGCCTTCGGACGCTACCACGTTGGATTTGGGCTCGGATACAGGCTACTACAGCACCTCACCGTCGCAGTTGGTGTATCCAGTACCGTCGCCAGGGATGCAGCCTAATACGCCTAACACGCCAACGATTATCTTGACAGGTATGTGAATGAGATTGGGTTAGATTCAATTCATTTTGGCATCTTACGAGGACTGTAAATTAAGTAATGAAACTTACTTTCTGTAATTTTTGTATTTAAATATAAATTACAATTTTATATTGTCATCCTCGAAATAACTGTCTTCTGAAGCCACACAGCGCGTGCTTCGAGAAGAGATTATTCTGATTATAGGAACTGTTTTATTTTTGGATGTTGTTTCGACTCTGGAATCCTTTCTTTTCAGACTTCTCAGAGGACGAAGCGTTGCGACAAGACAGCCTAACAAAGCAGCTCGCCTCGGAGTTTTTCTCCGAGGAGACGCTGAAAGAAGGTTTGGGCTCATTGGACTTCGATGAATTCCAGATCTTAGCGAATCCATCTATGAATATACCAGAAACGGTTGAAGACAATTTTAGGTTAGATCATCGATCATAATAATGGTTAGTATCAATCATAGTCGTTTTTAAGTTCAGAATGTATTTTTCAATACAAGTTATGACTGAAATATCAAGATATCTTGGTATAACAGACAACAGAGCTATTGTGACTGTGATGAGGTATGCTTAGAATAATGGTATTTTTTCAAAATTCGCTGGTTTGGAGATTGTGCCCGACCTTACCTTCACCTGTTTGTTCAAATTTCTGCACCAATTGACGAAAGGTATTGACACTGGTCACATTATTCCGACCGAAATCTTGTAGCTTCCGAATTGCTGCAACAATCGACTCATTATTTAAGTAAAACGTTTTAACAATACAGACGCGTTGTGGGATCGTGTAGCGCTCCATGATGAATTGAACACATGTGCTTTAAACGACTACTACAGCGCTACCTACTGAAATTCGTGTAATCGTGTAATCTGGAAAGCTAGAATTGGAGGGCGCTGGTTAATTTGGGAGTCGTGACAAACTTCAATTGCTGATCAATTGTTCACGTCAATAGATGTCAAAACGTGATGATGAAGTTGTGAAAAAGGGGTTTCGTTCCTACCTGATCTGTCTTTTCCTGTCTACTTATGTCAGTTTGACCCCGATCACACAAGCGCCGCCTAGTGGGAGCCGAATTAGACATCGCCGCCACTCCTGCTAATATCTTGTTTCCAATTCCAGGGAGCGAAAGTGCGAACAAACGAACCAAATAGATAGCGGGCATCTCAAACACTGACCTTCGAAGTGGAATCAATATCTAACTGTTTGTTGTGATTGTTAGATCTAGCCGTTTGTCTGTCGTTGTGGCCAGCCAAATAAACAAGGGTGATTGTGATGGACCATCCTGATTGATCAGACCTTAGGTGCTAGTAAGTGGTAAATGGTTTATTATGACAGTGATTGACATGACCATAATAGACCCTCTAGGTAGGCCTTAAATTACGCTGCGTGACAAATTGAATTTGTGTATTCATGGTTCAAGATACGTGTAAAGTTGGTACATGTTTCAGGTTATGTCAAACAATACTACACATTTTGGAGTCATTATATCCAAAAAAAATAATCAATAGCGTATTATATGGTTTCGGGGTTGATTTTTATCATATCCGTCTCTTTTCGTTACTCAAACTGAAGAAATTGTCACTACGACGGAGTGCAACCTCTAACTCAAGAGGCTGAAACTAGTTTTTTACCCGCTCTTTCACCACTCTTAAGACTCAAATTGCTTATTTTACAGTTTATCGTGACTGAAAACTTATTATTCTTGAGCCTTTTCATTCGCTCAATTAAGATAAGTTGTTAACTCACTGAATAAGGTATATCATCTTTAATAAAAGTTGAGTCTTGCTATGTTTTTTCCAAATTTCCTCTGATAATCAACAGTACAAGTGATTGTATAATTTTTCCCCTTGGTAATGTTAATGGAAAAAACCTAGGTAAATAATGCGTGCATTCATGTAAAGCTTCTTGGGCTTGTTGGATACATAATTAGTTACTATTAGGTTGTTCGGAAAGTTCTTGCGGTTTTTGTTATTTATAGTTTAAATGATGTATTTTCACTCAAATTTATTTTAATACTTTGAGCTTATTTGCCATTTTGAAGCGCCCTTTTTTGCTCTATCTAGTCATTGTATTCGTTTTGTTTTACGACAATTTATTTTTCACGACTTCAAATATAGGGTGGACTAGAGGCAAGTTCGCGCGATTTTCTTATTCCAAATTGGGTCGAAATGTTGTCGAGACAGCTCGCGATTTCAATGATGCATTTGGCCAAGAAACCACTAACGAACGTCGAGAAATGCTTCAATAACCATGACGATGCCAAAAATATCTTCGATGAGTTCATCGCCTCCTGAACTCCGGATTTCTATGTTAGCGGCATAAATAAACTTGTTTCTCGTTGGAAAGAAGTGTACTGAATCTAATGGCCGGGGGAACTCCACCTCTAGGCTTTGTGGAGGGCTGCAGGACATTTCGTTGTTCTCTCCGCTAATACCCTGGCTGCTGAAGGGCTAAGTGGATAAGTTCTTCTACCTCTACCAACTTGAGTAGTGGGGCTCAAATTGAAACATGTATCAACTAAAAGTCTACTTTTTTTTTTTAATTTCGTTGCGCAGTGTAAGATCATTCAACGGAAATAATTAAAATGAAGTTAGCATCTTTTTCTCTAGTACATCTGCTGATACAAATATTTGTATTTGATCAGATATGTTTCAGTAATATACAACATATTATCGGTAGAGAAAATAGAGGCGAACCTTCTTTTGACATGCTGTGTACATTCTTTCATACATTTCACATAGGGGTTTATTGAATGTTTTGTAAGTTACCATTATTGAATAGTGAAAATTGGTGTTCACACGTACCTTTACCGGATAGGTAGGGGCAGTAAATTTTTTATAATTTTAGACTGAAAACAGTCTGTTGACTCTAACGAATTTTTGGGAATTCAGATTGAAAACGTAGATGTTTTTGCACTACAAAAATGTTCAAGTTTTGTAGAAGGAATGGAATAGACACAGAAGTATTCAAAATATGGATGATATTTCAGCTTTTTTTAATCGCCATTTTTGTACTTTGATATATTCCAGTGAAATAGCTGTTAAAAATCGTGGCATATTGTAGATGCATTTTGATAATGCTTAAATCATATAAATATTTGGAAATGGAAAAGTGTTTTTCATAATTATAGACTAATGCATATATAATAATTGTCATTTTCTCTGGTACAAACAGACTGAAATGCTTATAAGTATACTTAACACGTTTTTTCTATTTGTATTCTACATGTCAAAAATCGAAATGCATTAATATATGCCAACACCCTTTTACTCAAAAAAAAATATGCACAATTAAAATATTTGGACTGCTTAGGGTAGCACTCGCACAAAACTGTAAAAACCGATTTTTCATTATCCATAACCGTATTATATCACAGCATAATACTAGAATACAGTTGATTGGAATATTTGGTTTCCAATACTTCTCGATACTCTTGGGCGGACAAACCTTGCTTAGAGGGATATGTGATTATGGCAGCAGGTTTTTTCTTTTTGGAACTATATCAGTTTCGGATTGCGATATTTTTAACACTTATTATAGATTTAAACAAAAGTTGCTTCATCGTCGAGCACTGTGGCATTTCTAAAGGAAACCTACGCTTCAAAATTATGTACGTTATTACCTTTTACCATATTAATTTGATCTATTCTTGTGAACACCTTAACGACACACTTTGAATGACGCAAAGTTACTTTGAAAACAGATATTCCAATCAAATTTCAAACTTTCAGAAAATAATAATCAGAAAAAATAGCTTCAATGAAGATAGTGTATGTTCTCTGGTGTGTAAAATGTAAAAAAAAAATTGTAAATGCTCAAAAATATCATTTACCATTTTTAATTTGGGTGCGGACAGATTATATAGCAGAACAAGTTCTGTATTTCGTCTTGTAACGTTTTGAAAGACGTAACATTCTATCAAGAAATGTATTAAACATTTTCCGACCTTTTGCAGCAAGTCATGCAACTGTGCCATGTAACAGCAAGCTTTATCGTATAGTCTAGATGCGCCTTTACAGTCATTTTGTGTATATATTTTTCGTTAGTAAGTATACTAGAACATTTATGTGCAATTTATAAGTGATATTTTTGAACGAGTAAGAAGTGTATATCATGTATGTAAATTTTTTGGAATATCAGAAGCTGTCCTTCGTGTTCGCTAGGTGTTGTATGCAGGTTTTCTCATATAGACGTTTTTAAGAATCTCAGCAGTTCTCGCACATTGTACAAGTAACTTTATTCAATCTTCTTCGGAAACTGAGGGTGGATTTCACATAGGACAGACCACAATGAAATTACGCTGAAATTGCATTGTCGTATCCCCAAATCATCACATTTTTCATTTGGTGAATGTGACGGATAGTGTATGCACGTCACGTCCCTCTGCAGCCCTATAGTATCTGCCAGTACTTGGGTCTTCCTGGAGGCTCACATATAAAAAATTACGAAGTTCCTAGTTATACAGTTCCTAGCCATATTATTACGCACTATAGATTCTATGTGGAATCTTAAAAAATATCGGGTGTTTTACAGGTTTAAAACGTCATATTTGTAGAAAAATACTTGTTTGTTAAATTTTAAAGAATATTGAAATCTACAGTGTAAAATATAAATATCTTGTAGAACCATCTTTTGGCATTATCAGGGCTTGAATTCCCGGCATGCTGTCGATAGAAGAGGTGAGTCTTGTTTTTCGTCACTTCTTCCACTTCTTCGTTCATTAGCTTCCACACTTTTCTATTGGTTTCAAATCGGCAGCGGTATTACGTATCTTGAAAAGTCACATTCTGATTGTTTTTTCGACTTTATATAGGTTTCTTGTAACATGTAGGTTTTTCTACAAGATGTTATTCACTTGACGTGCACTCATTCTGTACCGGTACGTTTTGCCTAAACGTCTTGAGGCTTCAACTACCAATTTTTGGCTCTGACGTAATGTAACATCTGCTTTTTTTGATGTCTAAGCTGTAATTTGTATACCACAGCTGGAAGGAAATGGCAGTGATCAGTGAAGATTTGTTGATGATAATTTCATTGCTTTCTTGTCTCAAATACACTTACTTGAGATGTATGCAAAGCTAGAAATTAGTTGCGTATCCTCTTTTTCTTATTCATCCTGAAAATTACATAAGCAATTTTGTTGAATTTCTAAACTGCGAGAGAAAAGAAATAATTACTCGTATATTCACTGTACACTGTCGAATTACAAGTCATATACATGCTAACAGTAATTACACACAACGCGGGCGCGGTGGTGGTTTCCGTAACTATCATCTGAGTTTTTGAAAACAAAAAAAAAACGTAAAACATCGTAATTTATAACTTTGAACATAACCTGTCTTCAAAAAGGACAACATATAAATAACCCGCCGGACACAGCTTAGATATACTTCATTGGCAGCATATTCAGTAATGATTTTCTCACACAGCAAATATCACCGATTTTATACACATGCAAATCATCCAGATGCGATCTTGTTACTCCTCTACTCAACCAATCTTCTTTCTGTCACATCTTCTCAGAGATATACTGTGCAAACTATATCGGCATTCTGCAACCAACAAAGTATTCTGGGGAATTCATAGCGGACAATAGCGGAATCAACTATTGGCATACTAGGAACTAACTAGTCAGCAAGTTGACATCTTGTTGTTTTTTTCTTTGACATTACATAGTTTTTTTACTTAATAACCCTGCGGGGCTATTACCCAACCAATTCAATATTTTGTTCTCGTAATTAAATTTTGAAAGATATTTCGTGTGAGAAGTCCTGCATAAAAATAAATGATAAATAATACCAGATGTAATCTAGTGCAACATATACAATTACAAATACTTTATAGTGCGTTTAATAAACAGGCCAGGAACTATACGTATACTCGGACATACCAGAGTTCGACATGAAATAAATAAATTCTAAGGTTTCTTGACGTCCTATTGAAACCTGCAAATAAAGGAATGTATTATATTCATAATTTTGTGAAATTCACCCTTGAATAAGTATGCTCTTAAAATGCAGTTGTGTATGTAGACGATGGTGCTATTTCTGTTTTTGAGACTCGGAGTTATTTTTTATACTTTTTTGAACTGCTAACAAATGCTTCTTAGAGCTTCGGTTGGGTTGAAACATATCACTCGTCAAAATATATTATCTCAAAATTGTATTCATGCACTCATGATGGGTATAGTGACATATGATGTCAAAACAAGAGTATGGAAATGTTAACTGTATGTCTCATGGAAAAATATACAGACTCATCATATCGAGTGTATGAGGTCTGTTTTATAGATAAATGGGGATGCAAACAGGTTTTGAGAAAAAGTAGCTCAAATATTCTCTGATCTCATTTTCATGAACTAATTTCCGTCAGCCAGTAAAACACATTACACTGTAATGTCACTTCAGTTTATTCCGCAAAACAAACAAATCAATCCATGATATACAGTAGCGGACAAAGGTATTTAAACATTCTTAGTAAATTTTAAAAAGTGTGCTAATTTTTTATTTTTTATTATTAAGGACTATTTTTTTCTCATATAGTTTGCTTACAGTCTTGAGAATACAAATGACAGTTTGCTGCGATACTACAGACTGAGACTAGCATTAAAATACCTTCATATTATTTTCTGACCGAAAATGAGACGACAAAAGTATGGAAACATATTTTTCATTACAAAATTAAATACAATAACTCTACAAAAAGTTTAAAAAAATATGGTTTAACTAATATTTGTTAGCATAGCCTTTAGCATTCAACACTGCTTGACATCTGCTGTTCATAGAAGACACCAATTTTTACAGACGTCTGTTGGGATATTTTGCCAAATATTTTTTTCATAATGAAATAAATCGTTCATATTTTTAAAAGTTTTTATCAGTTGTGTTTTAACATGCTCCCAGAGATGTTCTATAGGGTTTTGGTCCGGGGATTGCGAAGGCCATATAAGAACAGTAACATTTTTTGACCAGTTATTTACGAATTTTGAGGTATGATTGGGGTTATTATCTTGCTGGAATGTCCATCGTAAAAGCATTTCTTCTTCAGCAAAAGGGAGCACGCAATATCAGAGTATCGCAGAACGAATAATTACGGCAAAACTGAAATTTTTCCATACTTTTGTCGTTACAAAAACTGTGGTTTAAAAAAAAACGCGTGTTTTTTTCAGATAATTTGAATTTTGATAAGATAAACCTTGTATTAGTACGGGAGCTAAAGGTAGACTATAATATTTATATTATCTGTTTCTTCACAATTTTAATTTAGGTATATGAAATAGTTCATAATAATGTTAATATTTGTTTCGAAACTTTTGTGCGCTACTGTATGAAGCACATATTTCTTGATTTAATATGAGAATTAAGGACCCATCTTACACAAATCGTATAATTTTTCTCCAGGTTGAGAGACATTCTACAATAAAACGACCATATTAATTAGATCCATTACTTCTGCCATAGCACAGGCTGAAATTTTGATTCCCGCAGATCAATAGTACAATCGGGCCTTAGAGGCATAAGCGCGTATTAATACCAAATCCATACAAAGCTTGTATATAGGACCGGCTTTAGGTTCAGTATAAAGTAGCCTTTTAGTGGTTATAAACGTTAATAAATTCATGAGCATAGCCAAAAAAGACAGCTCCAGCGTAAAGATGCCCTTGGGCTAAAAGCGGGACTTAACGCCCGGAACTTAGTCATAAGGTCCAGTTTATCGTCCATTCGTAGATGACATATAACAAAAAAATATTTATGAAGGCTATGATGTCATTCATTTTTTGAGCTGCATACACCGACATTTGTAGACACTTCAAAACTTGTTACATCTCTTTTTTGTATATTTGGAATGTTTCGAGACTGGCCAAACATATCAAATTGGTTCTGTGTTCATGTCCTTCAATCTGAACAGACACTAAAAAATCTCTTTGGTAATATTTGTTAATTTCCTTTGTTATAATTTCGATGGAAAAGTAGCATTGGATAGCAGTTGTTTTTTTAATTGCTCATTTTAACTGGCTACATATTGCGGACGTTCACTTTGAGAAACGATGTTTTGTAGTCAGTAAGAAAAATTGATTAAATTCCATAATGTGGACCTAAGTCAAGATGTTTTCTATAGTAGTTATTAATACTTTGTTTAATGTAAGGTGTTAATTTTATGTAGATTTTTTATTTGATACAACGTTACAAGGAAGAAGAGTAGTTATATACATATGTGGGATCCCATTTTTTCCATAAAATTTGTAAATATTTACCATTTTACATCTATTCATCACGTTTATATACATATATTTAAATATTCTATATATACATATAATTTTAGATTAAAGAAAATTTTATTATCTGGACACAAAATGTCAATTGTTGCATGCTTCATTGTTATTTTTTTAAATTTTAAAATAATTATAATTATGATTTTTAAAATATACATTGGTTTTTTTTTATTATCGTATGGCAACTTAAGGCAGTGTCGTTAGTGCTTCCTACAACTGTAGGGCGCCTTTATGGCCTCCTTGATTTTTATAGTCTTCTCTCCTTCAGAAAGGCTGGGGCATTTCTAGATTTCTAATGTTCCGTGTCAGCGTCAGCGTTCACCTATTGTGAGGCTATGTTTTTTTTTGGAATTGCAAGAAATTTCAGGTTGATATAGCAGCTGATATAAATCAAAAGAATGAACAATTTGATGCAAATAGATGATTGTAACATAACCTCAAAATAGAGCGCTGACTCGATTGACGATGTGGCCCTTGGATACTGAATTCTCCATTGAATCATTAAAGTTTTCCACTGCAGTCGTGCGGAAACAAAACCAGTGCAGGATGATTATTTGCCAACACTTATAGTTGATCTACCTCACCAACTTATCTGCTTCCACTGCCCCATTTTTGTTACTAATTTTAAGAAATATGAAAAAACTCGAAGCAGTAGTCCAAACTGGAAACCATTGTAACGGTATGACTAGTCATGTCGCCATTCAGCGTAAAATTTCTTGGTACGTAAATATTATATAACGTGAAACAATTGAAGGGTACCGGGGAAAAACGGCATTAGTCCATTATTTGGCTAAATTGAGTTTTCAGTTTATTTTGGTGGCATTTTTCTGATGCTATCCTGTAATCAGCTTCTTAAATTGTAAAAAGGGCTTAGGTTCACAAAACAACAGCTATAAGATTTCCTGTGCCGGGGAAGAATGGCACGAGTCCCTGCGCGTGTATGGAAAAACGGCATCGGACCTTATGGAAAGGCGGCGTTGCATCGGCCGTACCTAGCCGAAAATCTAAATATCGCTAAATTACACAAAATGTATTCTATTGGCAATGTTGAAAACAAGATTTCCTATGAATCCTTCCGAGAAATCTTTGAAAACAACTTCAATATATCGTTCGGTTATCCACGAAAAGATACTTGTAGTACGTGTGATTCCTTAAAAGCTGATATATCTTCACTTACCGCTACCTTAAATTCCCACACGGAACAAACAAGGCAGTCAGCAAGTAATAATTTGGAGAAAAAGATACTCGAGAAGACACTACATCAAAAAAGGAGCGAGCGATTTTACAGTCTAAAGAGAACTTACCGCTAACGTGCCTCGAAGTTCCCCGCTATCGAAAGTATCACGATGGATTACCAAAAAAACTTGCCCTGTCCAAAGATCACGAGAAATGATGTTTACTATAAGCGGCAACCAAATTTCATCAGTTTTAACATCCACATTCTGTCAAACTCAAATTCTATCTTTTATATCTACGATGAATCTATTGCTAAGAAAGGAGCTGGCGATGTCTGTTCTATACTGTACTTGTATCACTTTTTTATAACATCCCGCCTATGGAAGTAAAGGAAATTGCCATTTTCTGTGACTCCTGTGCAGGGCAAAATAAAAACTTTACAGTTATTCGGTTATTATCCGAATTAAAAGTAAGAAATGGAAGGATCTGCAGGATATGACCAAACTTCTAGAGAGAGCAGATTGATTCTAGGGCATTTTATCAACAGTTAATACCTCTTCCAGAAGTCAGCAGTGATGAATATGTCGATGACCCGCCAATAGACGCTTAAAGCAGGGGAAAAGTGGCACAAGTCCAGAGTTGAACATCATCTTTTGTTTGTTACGTTACTAGTTTTGAGTAAAAGTTCATTTTGTATAATCTATTTTACCAATAAATACACTGTTTAGCAAAGATATTCTTTACGACTTATTTTTTCATCAATTTTACTTTCCAACAAGTAAGTAAACCTTAATTACCGATTTTCTCAAAATCAGTCCGGATGGACTATTGTCGTTATTCCCCGGTACCCTTCAATTTGCAATGATTTTCCCAGTAAAACACATGATCAACGGGAAAATGCACTAAAGTATTCAGCAGAACACTGACAAGGGAAGAACATAAATAATGAAAAAGCACATGCTAGTGGACGCTATGAACAGGTCAACCAACTCGAATATATCTGAAAACGCTATTTTTTTAAAATAATTCGTCCTGCATTTCGTTCAAGAGAGGAATCGTCAATCGCGTTACGGCCTTTTGAATTTCATACTAATTTGTCCAGTTTTATGTATGCCTTCTGGAGCTATTAGTCCATATTTATAAAAAAAAGTTTTGCTTTCAAAAAATAAAGCAATTCCTTCAACGTATATGCATAAAAAGAAGTGAAGGATAAGGTCTCGCTTCTGTAAAGTAAAAGGTGTTAACGCTTTCTTATTTATAAAAAGAAGCATTTGCTTAAAAACTAAAGGATTTGCTTCTAAAAAAAGGAATCTAGGTTACATCAACTTTTCTCATTTTATCATTAGTTGTCCCGGCATCTTAGAGAGTGCATCTTAAAATTTGTGCATTATCGTTTAATAAAATCTATTTGTAAGGGCTTGTTTAAGTGATCTTTGGTTCATTAGTCGCAGTATTGTGCTAGTTATGGCTAATGTGGTGCATTTACGTACAAAAAAATACTACAAACCAAGACGTACACCTCGTGAGTCATATTTCAAGACGTTGTTTAGATTTGAGCACGAAAATGTGGTGTGGTTGGCAAATTACTTTCTTGGCATGGATTTCGAAGCTCGTGGAGCAGCCCAGTCAACTGTGCAGAAAATGAAAACATTTCTGCGGTATTGTGCGAACCCTGGATTTCAGAGCGGAATAGCTGAAGAATTGGGATGTTCGCAGCCCACAGTGTCCAGAATATTTCATGACGTGCTAGAGCGAATTAATTGTACAACAAGCCGAAGAATTTATCAGGGTCCCAAATACAGAAAATCAAATTATGCAGGCCAAAGAGAAATGGTTGACCAGGTTCCGTTTTCCCACAGCTAATGGAGTTATCGACTGCACGCATATTCGTCTTGATGGAAAACCAGCCCAATTTGGAGACGAATATGTAAATCGAAAAGGTTTTGCCAGTATTAATGTACAGGTTACATGCGACCAGAATTCTATTATAACTAATATAGATGCAAGTTGGCCTGGATCAGTCCATGATGCTCGTATATGGAAAAATTCGGCAGTGTGTGAAGTCATGAAAAAGACAAGAAACACTATTCTTCTAGGGGGCAGTGGGTATGGTATAATATCAGAGAGTCTTTAACAGGCTGCTTACATCAGAGCGAGTTGTGATTGAGCATACATTTGGGCAAGTAAAGCGGCGATTTCCTATCCTGAAGTATGGATGCAGAGTAAAACTGACCAGTATTCCAAAAGTTATAATTGCGTGTGCTGTGTTGCACAATATTGCTAAGCAATTAAGAGATGAAGATTTTCAAGAAAATGACGAAGATGAAGAACAGGACTTGCCATTTATAGAGAATGAAAATGTAGATGCTATTCGCGCACAAGGACAAAAGCGGCGAGAGGAATTAGCTCGTCTTATTACCAGTAACAATATAGGTGTATAATTAGGATTAAAACTTCCATGTAATGCTATGTGTATGTCGTTTACTTCAAACGTACAAAGATGTATTTACTTAAACTAAAAATGAACTGACACGTTTGAACTGGAAAAAAACGATTAATTATTTTTTTTGTTATAAACGATACATATTACATATACGTATATGTATTTACAAGTTTTGGTAAATATTATCTCCAACAACAACATACTCTTGCGGGGCTTTTTCGTTTGATGCCTCGTTTAATTTTTTTAGCTTGGCAGAGTAATATTGTTGTTGGAGACGAGCAACTTTTAGTTGTTCAACTAAAACTAATCGTTGAAGCTGGGTTGTCGTTAACTGCCTCGTCTCGTCAGACTCTTGTTTGCCCGAAGCAATGGTAGGCTTCGGAGGAATTTTTTTTGCAGCAACCTCTTCAACCGATGTGTATAATCGCTTTTTGTTAGCTACTACTTGAGGCATAATCATCTGATGAGCGTCGTTTTCCACCATAATGTCATCCTTTGAAGTAGGTAAAGAAGGTTGACTTGCCACGCCAATTGCAAGAGCCCCTAATAAAAATATACATGCATGATAAGTACCTACAAGGTAATAGTAAAGACCTGAATCTATTTCTCACCTGGTACCCGACTTAGTACAGGATTTATGTCCGCATCCATAGCCTTTAACATAACTTTCTCCCAGGACAAAAGACGAATGGGCTTGTTCCCTGTTTTATTTTTGTCAGTTTTATTTTTCAGTCGCGTTTTCATATTGGTCACTTTTTTCATAAAAGCTTTAATATCCATCTCCTTGCTAAATAAAGTAACGTATTCCTTAACGATATCAGTTAATGCAGCAGTTTTCTTCTTTTTCGTCGCTGGATTTTGAGATTTCTCGAGAATCTCCGGAAATGCTTGGACTTCTTCAGCGATAAGCATCATCTCGTTCGGGGCATCTACGGTAACTTACTGTTCACTATCGGTGTCAGACATTTTAAATCTTTTATCCACTTTAAAATAGCTGCACAAATAAGTTAGATGGATCTTCTTTACATCAATTGACGTGCGAACTGCTTTTAATTATGAGTCAAATAAGATCAACCCCATCAGTTACAGCCTACACGTTGATTGCTCGCTGCAAGTCATATCTTGTCTAAATCGCTAATCTCGGTACCTTTTACTTTATTTTCCCGAAGCATTTGCTTGCAAGGAAGAGATAGAGATTATTAATACGAATTAGAGCAAAACCTTTTACTTCTACCTTTTGCTTGTATCTTTTACTTCAAAGTAAATGCTTCATTTTTATAAATACGGGCTATTGACTCGCACAGAGGATATGGAAGACAGCGTCTTTTCCTCTTCCACATTGTTGAAGGTTCTGTCGCATAACCTCCTATTTTATACAAGTCAACTTTCAAATCCTTATCACTCTAATGCCGCGTCCACACCAAACCAACAAAACAGCAACTCAATGTTTTTCAACAATCAAGCAACAAGTCGGCAACAT